TTTAAGAACTTCTCTTGCCTCAGACTCCCAAGTAGCTGGGACTACAGGCGACTGCCACAAGGCCCGTTTTTTTTATGTTGCAGTTGTCATTGCTGTCTGGGTTTGAACTCCACTGGGTTTGAACTCCTCAGCCTGGCTATAAATGGACAGGGCCCTAACCACTGAGATATGGGCGCTGCCCAACTTTCTTAGTCTTTTTTTTAAGACAAGAGTTTCACTATGTCGCCCTTGTTAGAGTGCCATAGCATCACAACTCACAGCAACCTCCAACTTTTGGGCTTAAGTGATTCTCTTGCCTCAGCCTCCCAAGTAGCTGGGACTACAGGTGCCTGCCACAATGCCCAGCTATTTTTTTGTTGTAGTTGTCATTGTTGTTTTATCTGGCCTGGGCCAGGTTTAAACCCTCCAGCTGGGGGGTATGTGGCCAGCGCCCTACCCACTGAGCTACGGACTACCCACTGAGCTACGAGCACTGCCCAACTGTCTTATTCTTATAAAACCTTAACATAGGTGTTACTGTGTCTGCCAATAATACCATGACTATAGAGTACCAGATCCTTCAGAGTAAAATTTTAAAGCTGTCTGTGAAGCAAAATTGAAGGAAATAAAGAAAAAAAGAAAAGAAAAAAGATATAAGGCAAGCGAACTTTAATAAGTAAAAAATAAAACTCAGAAAACATATTAGTCTTAAATGGCTATAACAGATGGTTACAGAAGAAAATAATAAAATAGAAATCTCTAATCATCTGGTTTCAATCTGTAAATGATATTGTTTCAGACCACTATCAGAAGAATACTACTTTATGTGTTAAAATACAACATCTACAAATTTAATAAATAGAATGTTTCCCAACAAAATGCACTAACTTTCCTACATGTGATCAGATAGCTGATCTAGACATGAGAATTCCTATACTAAGTACAACTCAAGAAATTGCAAGGAAAAAAAGCTGTGTTTCCGTAATCTTCCGGGCAAAAGAATCCATGGACATAGACGCACTGGTACAGAGCCTTCCGTGTAGACAGTCTTCCTAGATAATCATAAATCCTTCTTTTTGGAGTATAAAAATGGTACACTATGTTCTGGGAGTATTAATATAACATGATACTGAAAACCCACTGCCTATTAAATCTTATACATTAATTTAGTTGCTAAGGCTTTAGCCTCTTTGACTCAAGCACTTAAAAATACTAACTGAATTAGTCAAAGCAGCTTCAGAACTTATATGCACTAGGCCTTTAAACTTAAAGTATGTACTAGAACTTTAAATCATCCATAGTAAAGCCCATAGAAACCACTCAAATTTTCTATCAGTTTAATAATTATGAAATATTGTCATTTATCCTTTTCCATCCACTTGTGTAACACTCCTAATCCAGCAACCTTTATCTGCTGAGAATCTGACATCCATATTTCCATAATCCAGGAAGTTCCCATGCTCAAAATGAAATGTTTAAATTCTCTACTAC